ACACTCACTCACCCCTGTTGAACACAGAGGTCGCTTGGCATGGCCAAGCAAGCCATATATTATATATATACTGATCGGGTTCTGACTCGATACACTCTTCGCTAAGGTCGCTGGAAGGCTAAGTGGCTCCAAGTCTACCTCACACAGGAAATCTAGAATGGATACTTCGAGAGCTTCGCTAAGTCTCCGCGCCCACCGAGGAATTCTCCTCCAAGGTCTCCATGCCATAGTAGCCACTCGTCATATATAGCTACTCGCCAGTCCGTTCAAGACATCGCATAAGCTGTCTATCAACTGTATGCCATATGCGCGCCTATAAGCCTACGCCGTAAGACACCGCATGTGGTGGCTATTTACAACACAGAACGCCGCTATATTAATTAATCACCGACGCTGTAGAGATCTTTCACAGAAATCAACTTTTCCGTGATAGATTGCTAGAATATGCAATCCCGGACTACTTGCAATCACGATTATCTACATGCGGACCATTACGCAGGATCTGCAGACAACTAATATCGAAAATTGAACAGCAGCCTTGTTATGGGAGCTATAACTCATAATCGCCAAAGTTTCTGAGAAGAAATATGTACAGGTTCAGCTTTAATTCTACAAATATGACGATACATTCATGTATACAGTCTACAAGCTGACAACTTGCAAGTTTATTGTACCTTTTATATAAGGAAGTCGGAATTATATTCAAAACTGAAATTACATTCACGCAACAGCCAGGAAAATAACCTACCCCAGCATTAATATTACAGAGCGAGGTATTTTCGCCGGAGGCTTCAAGGCCTAACTCCTCAAACATTTTGGTCACTCGGGTAACTTCGGAAGCTACGAAGACCGACGACATGCTAATATCAACGACGCAAGATTTTATACAAGGTTTTTTCCTGCTACACCGGGTGACATCACAGCGCTGGTATTCTACAGAATCAGAATGCCTTGTTCTGATTGGACCGGCTATGGACAAATCGCATTCCACGAGAGGTCGCATCTTAGTTCACAGTTCAAGACTTACGCTATAAGCGACAACTATATATCAGTGAACGAAAGCAAGCCTCCTACAGTCCAGTTAATCTGAACCTTCATGATTGTGCTGCTTTCTTCAGGTTAGGAGGCCTCCCCCGTCAAGTTAGGACGAGGGCACGCAGTCAGGCAATTTTACATAAAGTTCAGTTCGAGGACAGACACACCTGGTTATGCACCTACATCACAAGGACTTCGCAGCTTAATAACCTAGGACGACGTGATACAAGTGGATCTAAATCCACAGCCGCCTCAGACTACAGCTGAATTTCATAATCAAGCTACTAACACAACTAGATGGTTAGTAAACCCACTTTTAAACTTTTCTGATTGGAGAATTAAAACGGAAGTTTCACCCCTCTCCAACTTGGGGATCTGAATATAGTGCTCCAACACCTCACAAGTGAGGTTTATGAACACGCCTGGATGACATACTTGGACCTAAGGATACGATGATTCTATCAATGCGATGGCCAGTAAGAACACTGCTGTAAATTTATCTCCACCGAACTGGAAACAGAAGGGAATAATACAACAGATTATTTCCTCTATCATCAACTTACTTGAAATGAAATCTCAATGCACTATATCTCCGCTTGGATCAGAACTGTCATACTTAATGGCATACAAGACGGATGGACCCAATCCAGACCCTCCATGAGCTTCTAATACTCATGATATTAGAGCGCTTAACTGCTACCAATTGATCTACACAATATTATTTGAAATAATGGAGGCTTTATTTTCTGAGATCCGATATGGTGGTTGCCAACCATTATCTGAGAGATATCATCAATGCAGGACGTCTCAGGTATCCACCAATTCGGGATCCCATGGTCCTCGCTTACAACAGTTGACAGTTCCTCGGAGAAGATAAGTCAATCTTACAGATTTTACTTATCTTATAACAGTACTAAATAGCTACATGCTATATATAATTTGCTTAAGCTTCTTTTATCATCACAGTACTATGATTATATTACATCATACAATATATAAGTTAACAACTCTACAGAGTTGGTTATTATATATTTACCTTAACTTAATTATATCTTCAGCATAGTACTATACTCAGATTGTAAAAATATATAAAGCTAACAAACTCTACAGAGTTTGGGGTTTTATATCATATCAGTATATTAGCTAACAAACTCTAAAGAGTTTTTACACTTGGCTTAAAGTCTCATCATATCTTAAGCAATATGGTTACATTATAACATGTATTAGCTAACAAACTCTACGGAGTTTTTTGCTATTATATATGTAACTTAAGCTTATTCATATCTTAAGCGCAGTACTATGTTTATATCATATAGGTATATTAGCTATCAAAACTCCTAAAAGAGTTTTTGCTATTATATATTTGGCTTAAGTTTCCATCATAATTTAAGCTTTTATGGTTACATTATAACTTGTATTAGCTAACAAACTCTACAGAGTTTTGCTTATATATGTAGCTTAAGTTTTCCTTCAAATCTTAAGCTCAATACTATGTTTATATCATATAAGTATATTAGCTAACAAACTCTACGGAGTTTTTGCTATTATATATGTAGCTTAAGGTTTCCTTCAAAGCTCAATACTATGTTTATATCATATAAGTATATTAGCTAACAAACTCTACTGAGTGTTTGCTATTATATATGTAGCTTTAGGTTTCTTCATAAACTCAATACTAGGTTTATATCATATAAGTATTTTAGCTAACAAACTCTAAAGGGTTTTTTACTATTATACAATTAGCTTAAGTTTCATCATATCTTAAGCAGTATGGTTACATTATGATGAATGTATTAGCTAACAAAACTCTACGGAGTTTTGCTATTATATATATAGCTTAAGTTTAATTATATCTTAAGCTCAGTACTATGGTTATAACATAAAAGTATATTAGTTAATAAACTCTAAGGAGTTTTTTTGGCTATATACATTTGAGCTTAAGTCTAATCTTATCTTAAGCTTAGTACTATATGTTACATTATAAATCTATAAGCTAATAAACTCTACAGAGTTTTGGCTATTATATATGTAGCTTAAGTTAATTATATCTTAAGCACAGTACTATACTCATATTGTAAAAATATATTAGCTAACAAACTCTACAGAGTTTTGCTATTATATAGGTAGCTAAAGCTTATTCATATCTTAAGCTCAGCACTATGTCTATATCATAATAAGTACATTGTAATAACCTTTATATGGCAGCTGATAAGTTAGCAGCAGGAATTCATCAGTTCAGTGCCTTTATGAAGTTCCCATAGGGTTATTACAATCATCACAGTTCAAATCACTAATTATTAAAATCCAAAGTATTATATATTCCCACCTCCAATCTGTTGGATTCTACAAGCAAAAGAGCATGAGTCAGGATAAGGAAAAATATGTAATTTTTTGAGTAAAATTGATATTTTATACTTATCCTGACTCATGAGGTCAGCCCTCCCATCCTCCCCAAAATAACACTTTGGATTTCCCTGTAAATTCAAATGTTGGGCTCAGTATATGAGGAGAGAGTGAGGCACATGGGTAGAGGTGGCTACCTCGCCCTCGTTCCAGCTTGTGGAAGGGAGGTAACTTCATGGTGTACTAATTAGTGATTTTACATTGAAGGGAACTTCAATTAGGGAGATACAAGTGTTCCACTATGTTATGCAAGAGGAAGGAGACAAGCAAAAGAGCATGAGTCAGGATAAGTATAAAATATCAATTTTACTCAAAAATTACATATATATATATATACTGATTGATCTTCATACTGACAAACTTCATTACATTAGACACCCATATATATATATATACTGAGTTGATTGATCTTCATACTGACAAACTTCAGACATTAGACATATATATATATATATATATATACTGAGTGATTGATCTTCATACTGACAAACTTCTCAGACATTAGACACCCATATATATATATATATATATATATATTGAGTGATTGATCTTCATACTGACAAACTTCCATACATTAGACTTCCATATATATATATATATATATACTGAGTGATTGATCTTCATACTGACAAACTTAGACATTACATTATATATATATATATATATACTGAGTGATTGATCTTCATACTGACAAACTTCGTTACATTAGGCCCATATATATATATATACTTGAGTGATTGATCTTCATACTGACAAACTTCAGACATTAGACTTCATACATATATATATATATATATATACTGAGTGATTGATCTTCATACTGACAAACTTCGTAGTACATTAGACTCATATATATATATATATACTGAGGGATTGATCTTCATACTGACAAACTTTTACATTAGACGTTTCCATATATATATATATATATACTGAGTGATTGATCTTCATACTGACAAACTTTATACATTAGACAGCATATATATATATATATATATACTGAGTGATTGATCTTCATACTGACAAACTTTATACATTAGGCCCATATATATATATATATATATACTGAGTGATTGATCTTCATACTGACAAACTTCAGGTACATTAGACACCCATATATATATATATATATATATATATACTGAGTGATTGATCTTCATACTGACAAACTTCTCAGACATTAGACACCCATATATATATATATACTGAGTGATTGATCTTCATACTGACAAACTTTCGGTACATTAGACACCCATATATATATATATACTGAGTGATTGATCTTCATACTGACAAACTTCATACATTAGACACACCCATATATATATATATACTGAGTGATTGATCTTCATACTGACAAACTTCGCATTACATTAGATATTCCATATATATATATACTGAGTGATTGATCTTCATACTGACAAACTTCGTACATTAGACTTCCATATATATATATACTGAGGGATTGATCTTCTTACTGACAAACTTCAGACATTAGACGCCCATATATATATATATATACTGAGTGATTGATCTTCATACTGACAAACTTCCTATTGCAGCTCGTGACTCCTTCAAGGACATCACCACACTCCATCTTCCCAACGAGCGGTTTTCACCAGTAAGGCGAGCTAGCGACGGTCTGGCCAACCTGCCGAAGTACCAGCAGCTTCACCTGGAGAAGATCTTCAATCAGACCCTTGGTGCACAGCAGCAACAACAGCAGCAGCAACAACAGCAGGGTCAGGGGTCGCGACACAACAGTCAGAACAGTGTCAAGGCCATTCAGCAGGAATGCCAAGAACTGCAGGTGGAGTACTGGGATCAGAGTGGAATACTGGGGTCAGGGGTGGAATAATGGGGTCATTGTGGAGTACTGGGGTCAGGTTGGAATACTGGGATCAGGGGTGGATTACTGGGGTCGGAGGGAGGAATAGGGGTCAGGGGTGGAATACTTGGATCAGGGTGGAGGGTTGGGGGGTGGAACATCAAAAGGATTACTGGGGTCAGGGGTGGAATACTGGGGTGGGGGTTGGGAGTATGGGGGTCAGGGGTGGAATACTGGGATCAGGGGTGGAATACTGGGATCAGGGGTGGATTACTGGGGTCAGGGGTGGAATACTGGGGTCGGGAGGGAGTATAGGGGTCAGGGGTGGAATACTGGGGTGGGAGGGAGTATAGGGGGTCAGGGTGGAATACTGGGGTCAGGCCGAATACTGGGGTCGGAGAGGGAGTATAGGGGTCAGGGGTTGAATACTGGGATCAGGGGTGGATTACTGGGGTCGGGAGGGAGTATAGGGGTCAGGGTGGAATACTGGGATCAGGGGTGGATTACTGGGGTCAGGGTGGAATACTGGGGTCGGAGGGAGCATAGGGTCAGGGTGGATTACTGAGGTCAGAGGTGGAATAATGGGGTCATTGTGGAGTACTTGGGTCAGGGACGATGGAGGGTTGGGGGTGAACATCAGGGCACGCCAGGGACAATGGATGGTTAGGGGTGGACATCAGGATACGCCAGATGATAGATGTTTGGGGGTGAAAATCAGGGAGCTTCAGGGACGATGGAGGGTTGGGGTGGACATCGGGATACGTCCGGGACGATGGATGGTTGGGGGTGGACATCAGGGTACTTCAGGGATGATGGAGGGTTGGGGTGGACATCGGGATACGTCCGGGGACGGTGGGGGTGGAACATCAGGGTACGCCAGGGACGATGGATGTTTGGGGTGGACATCAGGATACGCCAGATGATAGATGTTTGGGGGTGAAAATCAGGGTACTTCAGGGACGATGGAGGGTTGGGGGTGGACATCGGGATACGTCCAGGATGATGGATGGTTGGGGCTGGAACATCAGGGTACGCCAGTGACGATGGATGGTTGGGGGTGGACACCAGGATACGTCCAGGGACGATGGATGTTTGGGGGTGAAAATTAGGGTACTTCAGGGATGATGGAGGGTTGGGGGTGGACATCAGGGTACTTCAGGGGATGATGGAGGGTTGGGGTGGACATCCGGGTACTTCAGGGATGATGGAGGGTTGGGGTGGACATCAGGGTACGCCAGGGATGATGGAGGGTTGGGGCTGGAACATCAGGGTACCTCAGGGATGATGGATGGTTGGGGGTGGACATCAGGGTAATTCATTAGTGATAGAGAGGCGAGGATGGGGTAGGTTGTATGTAAAGGGACTGACAGATGTCAGCCTGAAGGCCAAGTTCCGAGGGCCCAGATCTGCTTCAGTCTAGAATTGTTGGGTTAAGTTGGGGAGGGCACCCTTGCTGTTTCCCAGTGAGTAAGTTGTTGTGGACTTTCATGAGTAATATAAGTATTTCATCTTGTTGCACATGTTCAACATGATGATGTTTGCCTGACAGAAACAAGCTGGTTCAGTGGATGTAGAAAAACAAGCAGAACTGCAGCAAAAACACACAATGTCCCTCTTTCAACAATCTCTTCAGGTAAGTCATGCTGTCCGTTTCCCAAACACCAACATCACATGGTAGCGTAGTGTAGTGTTTATCGTCTTTCCTCAGATGAGAACATTTATGATGCCTGTAGTGTAGAAATCAGTGACGCCAGCATGTTCTGTTGTGTTTTCACCCGTGTAATCTGTTGGTCGTATCCCTTTATGATTTTTCTCATGATTTGGATTTCCTGCGTTTGATCGTTCTCAGTTTTGTTTTTAATTTTTCTTCTCACTTTAGACTCCAAAACAAGACGCTAAGTGACCACAACAAACCTGCATGGAACATTGTAGTGAGAGCTACCTCCCCTTGCATATCTTGCTGTTGTAGATCTGTTTTAACTCGGGAATGGGAAGCCGTCAAAAACTGTCTGTTTGATTTTTGGGTTAGCTGAGCCCAGAAATGATTTGCCCATTATATACTGGCCACATAAAGAAACTGTGCACACAGAAAATATATAGATGGATTCGGGTGACTCATCTCAGACACAGGTTCCAGACGGCAGTGACCACGTCCCAAACCATTCCCCAGGCCTTCATTTGGAAAATTTGGTAGCCTCTATGTGTCGTCGATGCACTGCTGTGCTTCACGCGCATGATGGTCATACCCATTATTGACTTTGTGACTTCGACGTGTGACTCAATATTGAACTTCTGACGTCATCTTTACGGATATTGTTCATGTTCTTTTGACATGTTGTGGACGCCCGATACTTCAGCTTATAAAGTGTCTACATCATGTTGTCTTTTCTGTGTTGTATTCCAATTCTGAAGGAATTTTCTGTGTGCACAGTTTCTTTATTTGGCTAGTATATATTGTGGATATCGTTATGAACCCTCTCTGAGATTTGGCTGCCTCAGCCAGACTTGATGTTTAATATGCCTCCATTATACCCCTGGGAATTTTCTGGCATGTGATTGAATTACGCTTGAAGGTCAACTCAACATGAACTAGGCATCCCTAACTGAAACATACAAGATAATTTCACAGAACTCTGAATTCAGTAATGAGAATCTTCAGAGTTTCCAATCACTTATGATTGACTCTCAGTAAAGTAATCGCCTTAGGTGTATTGGAACACAATATGAATGTCATTCCTTTATGAAATAGTTTTGATCAGAAAACATTGGCATGTTACATTTGATTTGATATTCATATTTGTATCACAAGGTCACTCATCTGGGAGTCAAGATATTTCTTACTACAGTCCGTTTGGCTCAAAAGCGGACCGATGAATTGCAATCTCGAAAACTAATAAACATAAAATACTCAATGAAACGCTGATCATAATCAAAGCATCATACCCACTCTGTGAGTTTTTGCAGAATTTTTGTCCTAAAAATAAAAAAGTTGATTAACAAACTATCATTAAAATATTGACACAGTTCACTGTTTGTTATGAGGGAGGAGTGCAGAGAAAGGGACAGCCAGGTGTTCGAGAAGCACGTTCACAGACAAAGTTATTTATTCATTAACCTGTGCTGTGCCATCTCCATCCGTTCTCGAACACCTGGCAGAGAAAGGGACAGCCTGGTGTTCGAGAACGGATGATCAGCGTTTCATTGAGTATGTTATGTTTATTAGTTTTCGAGTTAGATTGCAATTCATCGGTCCGCTTTTGAGCCAAACGGACTGTAGCTTCTTTCAGGAAGTTTTGCTGGTGTGACATGAAGATGTCTCTTGTACCACAACAATAATTTATAGATAGTAATGTTCTCACGTGTGATTCGATGACATTCAAGGTCAAGGTCACTCTGTGACAGTTGCTTTTCAAAATGTTAGTGTACAAAATAACGCAAGTATTAAAGATTACAATGTGAAGAATCCAAGATCACATCTTATGCTAGTTGACCTCTATGTAAGGTCTCATCACTTGAGGTGTCAAATTATGAGACATTGCTTAAATTTCATGAGATGTCAGATAACAGTTAGTTCAGATGAAGTAATTATTTAGGTGGCTTCAGGCGTGGTCTCGAATGTTTTAAAGGGGCACTGATCCAGAGCAATTAATGTTTCTTGCCAACAGTCTAATTATGAAACAAGCTGCAAGCTGGTCATTACCTGCTCCCTCGACCGTGATGGACACGGGGACTGGGCTACGGTCCACCTTGGTAGAATTTCTTCAACCTCAACAGTGGGACATTAGGATTTTGTTATGTCTGGATAGTATAGTGACTGATCCAATTTGATCCTATTTCTGTGTTTTTTTACCTCAATATTTAATCATGTCATGTAAAAATATGATGTCTATTACCTATGATATTTATAATACACATTTGATTTATCTGAATCTGTGAAACTAAACAACCCCACTTTGCCATTGCTAGAAAAATCTGAAAATTTTACTTAGTAAATAGTTTTGTACAGTGTTTAACTTAAGTAAGTACACAGCAAATGCTCATATGTATTTCTTATGCAGCAAAACTGGTCAGCCCTTGCTCCCTTGACAGTGACGGACACGGGACTGGGCTACTGTCCACCTTTGTAGAATTTCTTCAACCTAATCAGTGGGACATTAGGAAGGGTGGATGCCCATCAGATGCCGTTATTTGAAATTATCCCGGTAGTTCTTGTTTGATTGTAATAAAGTATCCCAGCAGTGTAGGCTTTTTCAGATTTTCTAATGTTGGATGGTATAGTGACTGATCCAATTTGATCCTATTTCTGTGATTTTTACCGATATTTAATCATGTAAAAATATGATGTCTATTAAGTATGCTATGATATCAAAACACACATTTGATATATTTGAATCCATAAACACCCCCACTTTGCCATTGCAAAAATATCTGAAATTTTACTTAGGTAGATAGGTATATACAGATTTTAACTAAGTACACAGCAAATGCTTATATAGTAATAATGAAGTTCCGCTCATATCATCAAAACAGTGTCGGTCCATACGCTTTGTTCAGACAATCAAACTTGCATGCAATACAGCCATTACTACTCCCTTGCTGTAACCCTTGTTTGGTGGTAAAGATACACATGTTATTTGTCATCATTCACTTGATGGTCAGTTAATGAATTTATAGCAGGTATAATTAGTGGTAACACCACTCAGATTACCCGACAAAGGTTCCCATTTGGCATTTCTCATGTCTGGAGTAAATACTCATCATTATAAATTGAGGTCTGATGTGGCAAATGTATTACATCTTATGTAATATGCGCATATATTATCAGCTGAGTTTCAAAACAACAGAAGACAAATTTGTCAGTAAAGACGTCAAATTTGCAATTAAACATCACTAGACAAGGTTATTTACCTTTTAAGTTCTAAGTTGTTTTTGCTGGGCATTGTATTATGGGATTAAGATTACCGTGTGTATTTGAGCCGGAAATAGCAATCAGCTGTGCACACGTTTCCCGGCGATCAAGGTCAAACATGCACAATAATATATTCCGGAATGAATTCTGACGCAGTCATCAGTAAAATATAATACAGAACACTATTACTTAACCCAAAGAAATATATCCTAGCATTGCGTAATTTTAATTACATTTTTGTTCTATAAATATAAAATATATATAATCAACACTAAGGTTACATAGGTTGAAATAACAACAAAATGTATACTTTAATATGTATTTTGCAAATGGCGACCGGACAGGATTATAACTATTTTTCCTTATCCTGACTCCATGCTCATTTTGCTTGTCTTTTCTTCTTGCTTAGTAACACTTATCTCCCTAATTGAAGCTCCCTTCAATGTAAAATCACTAATTAGTACTCACCACGAGTTACCTCCCTTCCACAAGCGCTGGAACGAGGGCCACCTCCACCCATGTGCCTCACTCTCTCCTTCTTCACCCAGTGAGCTGGACGTCGAGGCGCCTGTGTCTCCGACACACTATATCCTTTAATTATATTTAGTTAGTTACCCCATTATAGACATCTATAGAGGTTTAGCTAGTATCTTCAACAATTATATATTGATATTTAGTCGAGTGTTTCTACTGTTTATTCACGGGACGCCGTGTTTGTTTCAGTGGATTACGTTGATGAAAATTCTGTACTGTTGCAGATTACGTTTTTTATTCTGCTGCTGATCCGCATTTAATATGCCCTAGTTGTACTGCGCCATGTTCATTTTATTCACGTTGCAGTTGCGGTACTAATTTATCCAATTCTGCCTTTTATAAATATTTACTTTGCGTTTGAGACGCGCAGCAGATAGGTCGCGTATGCAGAGTCTAGCATGACTGATACACCTGAACCCCTCGCCAGTCTACTGCTGTTGGTCGACCCCCCTCCCGTGTGGTGTTCCGCTAGAGTGGTGGAGAGGCGTGGGACGTAGTCCGCCGCCTCCAAGAAGCGTCCTGCTTCCCCAGACATCCCATCGTCGCAGCCGAAGACTAGAGGGTTTCTACTGCATCTCAACGCAGACTTCGCACCCCCAGGGCAGCATCGACCTCTGAGGGGAAATCAACGAAGTCTACTAGAACTTTCTCAGCCGAGATTGTTCCCATCGCAGATTTGGGCCTGTATGATGATCAGCCGATCATCATACCTGATGTACATCAAAAGAATGACCGATGTCGGCAACAGTGATGTCAGCGCAGATCAACATGCAGCCTGATGTACCAACGCTGATATTCGATGATCTTCCCTGAAGGTCCTGCCGCTACCAACACTCAACGCCAGACTTCGCGACCCCAGGGCAGCGCCGACCTCTGAGGGGAAATCAACGAAGTCTACTAGGACTTTCTCAACCGAGATTGTTCCAGCCACTGAACTGGGCCTCTACGAAGATCAGCCGATCATCATCCCCGGACGCATACCACAAGAAGCTTTACCGGGTGACAGCTACAATGACATCAGCAGAGAATAAGCCATGCAGCCTGATGTCTCTACACTGATGTCAGACGACTTCCCCTGAGGGCCCCACCGCTAACATCGCAGAGAGGGCACCGACTACTTCCGCCGCGAGACCATCCCAGATGAACTGTTGCGGCAAATCATGATCATGATGGAGGGCCACTACAGACTG